TATTTTACAGAGTGACTTTGGGATTTTTAAAGATATTGATATGTTGTTTCCTTCTGCCTGAGGCTATCCAATCCCACATTCCTCACTTCTCTGTGCACTAAACACAAGGCCACAGGGTTTGGGGGGACGAAACTGTATCCAGTCCCCGCTTCAAGGACTCCTTCCTGTAAAATGCATCAACAGTTCTCAGAGCAGGTGAACTAGCTGTCTAAATCTGCTTTAAAAAAAAAAGGCTTTGAAAAATCTGGCCCTTAGCTGAAGTTGATTTGATGCCAAATATGGGACTTTGCTTCTAACCCAGAGGGATTCCAACAATTAAAATCATGAGCATAATATCTCTGTAGCACCAAGATCTAACTGAAAAGTATGATAGATCTGCTAATGCCACTTTGAAGGTAGAGATATTCAAGGGAATTTGAGAGGTGGGGATGGCTTACCATAGTGTGGGAAAGGTCCAGAGTAGTCAAGGGTTGTCCCATGTTTTTGGAATGTGGTTATTCATTTTGAAATGCAAACAGGATGTGGGCTAAGGCAGATCAGTTGAGTCCACAGGTGGGATTTGTATTATTCTTTACTAGTTTACATGACATTTTAATTTGTGCTTATGCATGGAAGAGCATGCATGTGCAGTGCCTGAATAAATTACTTAGTAGGCATGGGCAGTGTTGCACTGCTCTGAAGAAGATCCATGTTGCAAATGAAGAAAGAAAAGGAAAAAGCAGCACTTGCATACTCACAAGATATATTCCTTGCATGTAATCTACCCATGTAGTATGTTCAAGTTTTTATACAACACCTTTCACTATAGATAGATGGAGAAAGGATTTGAGGTACTGGAGATAAATCTGCTTGCTTTCAATACTTGTACTTCGGTACAAAGCACTGAGAGTGAATTCACTTATCCTCAGTGCTCTAAGGTCTATGGCAGGTACAGAAGCAAGAACAGCTGCTATAAATAAAAATGAAGGAGAGGAGAGGGAGCTGCAATTGCTCGTTCTGTATACTGAATCCTAGGGTGTCTGCTCTTAGTGTCCTTCTGCCAGTCATACAAAGGGAAAAAAGATCTAAAAGCTACTCTCCACCTAATCACAGTTGCCTCCTCGTCTTCCTAATGTTTGCTTTGTACATAAATATGCCTATTTATATAGTTCTTGTTTCTCTGCAGAATTTATTTGGAGCATTATTGCTCAAGTGTACTTGGTAGAAGGGTAATGCATTTCATCAGTACACAATAAACGAACATTATGTGCTAGTCTTCAGATATATAGTTTCAGTCCTAAACTCATTGTCAGGAAAATGGCAGGAGCGTTTGGCTTAAGAATGGATGACACAGATTATGGGGATGGCTTGGTCAGACTGTATTTGCCTACACAGGTGATTACCAATGCTGCCATTCAAGTGATATTTTTGGGGCATTACTTTTTGTAGTTGTACAGAAACATTTCCCGGAATATTTATTTTATGACTTTCTCCTTTCCAGCTGGAAATGTAGGTTTATATTTCTACACAGACACCCAAATACATTTGTGAACTGCTCTTAATGATTTAAGTAATAACTTTGTGGGGGGGAATGATAGTAGCTAATAGATTTTAAAGTAAAGTTTTATTTATCCTATTTATGGTGGAGGATCCACTGTGAGTGAAATATGTGAGACTAGCAAGTGACTGTAATCATAGAATAACAGTGATATAAAAGCTGGGTGCATAAAAAAACTACAGCCTAGACACTCAGGAGTCTCATAATACATTTTAACATATTCTGTGGTGTATTTTGCAGCATGCTCTGTCTGACAAGGCCAGTGTGAAAGCATTTGATCCAAAAACAACTTGCTTGCAAGAATGCCTTATCACCACTTTTCAGGAAGCTTACTTTGTCTCAGAAAGTTTTGAAGAAGCCAAAGAAAAGATGAGGTAAATTGTTTCCCTTGACTTGTATAAAACACAATCTAATTTTCTTTTCCTTAGATGTGGCTGAAATAGGTGTTAATTTTCTTTTTCTTCCAGGGACTTTGCCAAATCAATCAATCGACCCTTTTCTGTGTATTTTAATCCCTACACACAAAGCATTGAGATCCTGAAAGACACCAGGAGTATAGAAAATGTTGTCCAAGACCTTCGGAGTGATCTGAACACAGTATGTGATGCTTTAAGCAAAATGAACAGATATTTAGGGATCTGATATCTGTGGCACCGTGGTGTTACTGTCAGCTGTTTCTTCTGTGGCTATTCTAGCAACATCTTGTGACACTTAACTTTTTAGAGCCATCAATTTTCCCTCTACAGCTTGGCCAGTGACTTTGCATCAGTGTGTAGCTCTGTCTAATTGTAACTTACAGACAAAACAAGACAATGCTAATTTGCAAACTCAGCAAGAAATGTGATGGCCTATAACAAGCAATTCTGTGACATGCCATAAAGAAATACACCATTAAAAACTTGCCTGGCAATGCTTTTGTTTCCTTAAAGAAGAATTTCATTTTAAAAGTGTTTAATTTAAAATATATAGATTCAAAATGTCTCCTCTGATTTCATTAGAAGTCTGGACCATCTGTTTTCCCTGTAAGATGCTGTGGAAAAATATTTGCAAAATTTTCCTTGCGAGTGAATGCATATTTCTTTCTGTACTAGTGAAGACCTTTTTTTTGTCCTTTGTCTCTTACTGTATTTGAGCGTCTCTAGTGACTGAACAATAGAATTTATATAAGACTGTGAAGGTCAGAAAAGATATATATCATCATTAAAGGGTTTGTGAGGGTTGCAAATTATAAGGCAAAGAATGGACAAATATTTCAGAATAGCTGAGTAACTGCAAAACAATATAAAATGTTTGGTAATTCATACAAGAAGGAATCTTTAGTTGGTACCTGCAACTATTAAAGAATATCACAAGAATATCCACCACCCTTTGACAATTTAGAAAGTACTTCCTCTTGGAAGTGGCACATTCAGGGATATTTATGGGAATCCTTATGTTGTTACACATGAATGTAAGACCCTCTATGGCCATTATTGGTCATCTTCATTCCATGATTCAGAGAGATGCTTGCAGGGATTTTCCTAATGAGTCTCAGGCATAATTGGGCATTGTTTATTGGGTCAAAATAAACCTTGCCTGGTGCAGGGAAGCGAACACAAAGTATCACCACTGCTTGTTTAAATAATATAAAGTTCTGATGAGAAACCCACTGACTTCAATGACTAGTGGGTCCATGTACACCAGGAATCAATTTGGACCACTGTGCAAGTCATAATTTATTATTTCAGCAAGCTCTTTTTTCATCACAATCAGGTGGACTATGAAGATCATGTCAGATATGGACCACGATGCCATGACACATCTGTATGCATTGCAAATAGCCCCTGTTGAGACTTTTTGAAGTCTTGTTGAGAAAGCTATGCTGCTGGTCTAAAGGTTGCATACAGTGCCAGCTACTTGATAACATCAGTACAGTCTTAAATAAGAGGCAATTTGCAGGGATAATGATTTTCATAGAGAAGTTTGCCACCTCCTTCAAGATAACTGTAAGATAACAAAGAGAATGCTTTTTCCTTTGGGCTGACCCTGCTGCATTCTCATACTGCTGTATTAATAGGGTGTGGAACAATCCAGTGTTAGATTTGACTGTGACTACCGTTGGTACCAAGGAAGAGCTGTTGAATTATCCCAAAGGAATCAGAAGGCTGAAGGGAGTTCTTTACTCCCTGACGTTAGTAGTGACGGTTAGGTGTCACTTACATCTAGCAATCCCAACATGGAAGTTTTCTGACTTGCTTCTTTCTTTTTCAAATGGAGCCCGATAACCCTCTCCAAGTTCTTTGGGAAAATGCACTGTGCCTGGATTCCCTTCAATGGCTCTGAATGTCACTGCAGCAGGAATCACAGACTTGTTGAGGAGTCAGGGTCGGGGTGCTGTTATAGCTGTGATGGTTCAGGAGTCAGAGAATCTAACGTGAAGGTACTACCAAAGCTTATTTACATAATATTTAACTCTGATGAGAAACCTAGATGCAACAGTTACCAGGAAATCTCAAAAACTTTCTATTAGAATCATGTAGGTATCTTACAACATTAACATTGTCTGGATTTATTCTCTGGTATTTTGAATAGCTTGTACCAAGGCTTCTACAGCAGTAAAACAATAGAGGCATATCTTTGTTTTGTTTTGTTTTGTACAGTTAACAAGTAAATCTTATTATGGATTAGGGAGAAACCCTTGAAATCCAATAGTCATCTGAGGACTAATGATGGCGAGGAAACTGTCTACAATGAAGATATAATATCATTGAAACAGAACATTGTCAAAGGATAATGGGTTCCTGCTGCTAGATATATGCTTAATCCAGTGATTTTATTTTTATTGTACAATATGATTAAAAATAAATTAAATATAATAGACTGGGAGATAATAGTGGTTTAGAGTGACAATTGCTCACTGTTCTTGTGTTATAAAGCTCTGTTCTGATAGGTTTAGAGAAAAAAAACTTTTGCTGTACTTCCACCAGTAAGATTGCAGGGTTCAGAAATGATGCTTTAAAAGGTAATGGCACTGTGCTTTTAATGAATCAAATAGTTTCATCTTAGCTTGAAATTTCTCTTTGCAGTTTTTATTAGCAAATTAAGATCAGTCATCCAGCAAACTCCCTGGCTGACAAACTCATTTGGCATAATGAGGAAATTATTGACAGTTATCAAATTATACTAACTTTTCATTTAAAACAGGCCATATTTATCTAAGGTGTTTGTTTAGCTTTAGTGATCTGGACCCTGGAAATTGGACTTCTGGCTTAGACTCATTTAATTACTGTGTGATTCTGAACTGATGCTTTATGGATCTGAGATGTATGCATTTGCTTTGCTTGTGCAAAGTAAATGGGCCTTAGCTTAATGAATGTAAAGCATTTCTATGTTTACCACCATGCAAAGTCTAAAATGAAAAACAGCATCGTGAGACATTGCAGCAAATACAAAGTTTCATTTGTAAATAGAGACATGATTCACACATTTCATTTCCTCCATTCAGGAGGAAGGGAAGCACGCAAAGTATTAGCAACATACATTGTTTTCTCTCTTTCATTTGGGTTCTGATATAAGGTCCACTGAAGATTAGATCTTCAATCTGCTTTGAAATAACCAGGTGTCTTGTTTGCCTGCTGTTAAGAAACTTCTTTTCCGAATTATAGAGTGAGCCACTGTCCAGAGATTCCAGTTGGAGTGGGTCCTGTTTGGGATCCTTCTCTATAATGGATTTTAAAAAGTTTCCTATCCAAGTGCACTGTCACTGTCAAAGAACTAAGAATAAAGACAGACTCTAACTTTTGGCATCTGGTTCAATTTCAGCCCAGATCGGTGGTCACTTAAAGTTGTGACTATCCAAGGGCATCTGGGCTTCTATGTAAGGTGGGTTCCACGCATCTCAGAACACATATCATCTCAGTTATATATGCCACATAAATTCAGCTGTACCTCCATCCTTTCCTTTGCTTCCTGGGGCATGAAGGTGAGTCGTTCTTTGCCTGGCCACCTTTTCATGCTGGTGGTAGGAAAGCACCTTTATACATAGACTAGAGGGTATTTCCTAATTTTCCCAGACCATTTAGATATGGCAGAAACCCATGTGTAGGATACTGTGCTGGTTATTTATTCTGAGAGGCAGAAGATGGCACAAATGAGAACAAACTGTTCTAGTTCTATGAATATGGTTCATATTCAAGGTGGAAAGACATAGAGAAAGGCATTATTAACACTCTTGAAAGGCATAGTTTATCCTATCAAAGTCTGTTCTTCACTACACTTCAAGTATGCTGTGTTTTCCCAAGTGTCATGCAGGAACTAAATCAACATTTAGGCTCTTAAAACTGAGTTCCTCCTCTATCCTGGCCACAGCTGACAGCTTTTCCTTCTACATCCTTAACTTGTTTCTGAACTGGAGTCCATGTTTTTTTTAAACATCTAGCAGATTCCCTGCTGTCTTAGTAGGAATCTATTACCATAGTTATTAATATATATATTTTTTAATTTCAGAAATATCTCCGGGGGGAAATATTTCCACTCTCCATTTCAACCAATTTTTTTAGCTCATGCTTAACAGATTAGATCTGGACCATCAAGAGGAATTGTCCTAGTATTGTTTCATTGTAGTTATTCTCCAGGGTGCTAGTTGCTCCTTTCTTACAGGTTTAAAAGCTTTATTGAGAAAATGTTAAAATGAAAAAATGTAGAACAGTGCTTTAGAGGAGCAGGACTCTATCCATGGTAACCACATTGGTACATAGTAGCGAGATAATAGAACGAGCTTTGGCATTTTGTTAAGTGTGCTGTTGATGTTTGTCTGGGTAGAGTACTGTTAACATTAACATTTTTTCATGACAGTGGTAGGTATGAGAGAGACAGGACCCCATACACAATGACCACATGAATATGAAACTGTAGGATGGTAAAGCATTCTTAGTTATTGTCTTAGTGTACAGTCTAGATTTGCCCAGGGTGAGTATTGTCCATCAGTCTTTATCAGAGTTTATAGTAGAAGGGGAAGGGGCAGGGGATCCAACAGAGTATGGTGGTCCAGTCACACCCTGCTTCAACTGATGAGATGAAAGAGCTTTCTGGGCATGTGCAGCACAGCTGATCAGCATGGAGGTCCATATGCAGTGAGCTCTGAGCTTACCAACTGATCAGTGCAGGTTCTCTGTATGCACAGTGAGCTCTTAAGGTGCTCATACCCCAGTCAAAATCCCTGGAAGTATGTCTGTGAGCTTACCATGTTTGCAGAGTTCTGTCAGCAGACACACCAACAGCCCATGAGCTCAAGGAACTCATTGCACATGTGCTGCACAGCCAAGGGTGACGCATAGGGGGTGCACGCGGGTGTACATGCACCCCCTGAGTGTGGCAGTGTACCCCCTACAAACAGGCACCACTAACACTGCCAGCGGCACCGGTGGGTGGTTGCCTTTCGCCATCCCACCCTCCCTACTGCCAATACCTGGTGTCTGCGGGTGGTCAGTGATCTCTGCTGGCCGCCACTGATCTGTAGGTGGTCACTGCCTCCTGGTCGGCACTCGCCACCCCCTCCCCCAACACTGGCAGTGGTGTCTATGGAAGCTCCCCGCTTACCGCTGCTGCCTGCCTGCCACCACCATGCCCCCCCAGCTGCTGGGGGCATGTGTCGTTCATGTGCACAGCTAAAGGATGGGGGGCATGGAAGTAGGTTACCCACGATAGTTTTAAAATACATTTGGGTTCTGGAACACAGAAACAGTATTTTGGATACACTTTCATAGTATCTTAGAGAAGTAGGACTGGAAGGGCCCTGCAGATGTCATTTAGTTCAACCCCCTACCTGAGGCAGGTTTGTCTGGATCCATGCCATCCTATACCAATCCATTGTCTAACCTATTAACAAAACTACACAATCAATCC